TGACTCATATGATTCATAATCTGATTTTTGATGATCAAACCTAACGGCCTTCAAAAAGGCCTAGTGACTAAACCCTATCGCTACAGACTTCCTCCGGCAGCCGCTTGGTACACAATATATGCTGAGTCGGCTCAGCGACTATTTTTTTTTCTCCAAGTTTCCAAGCATATTCGCGTATCCTATTACAATGTTCCCACAATCTACTTGGAAATTCAACGCCCCCCCTCTACGCGCTCAGTATGGTATGCGCAATATGACACACGTCAAATAAAAAAAAACAGAGTTTATAACTTCACCCTTCCCCCCCCCCCCCTCCCTTTTTACCCGTGCAACTAAACTTCAGTGACTGACGCTTATGACAGACAGACCTGCGGCTACACCCATATACTAAAACCTAGAGACACCATGACGGGTATAAGATAAGGGCGATTGAAAAAAAAACCCACAGATTTCAAATCTGAGTCAATGGCGTCATGGCAAATATTTGCTCGTGGTTTTAAAACTGCCAAGACTAAGGTAACTTGTTTTTAATTCGTGAATAAACATGGCTATTAAAAGATTTTTATTTTATTTTTTAAATAGCTCGGGAAAAATCCTGTGTTGCAATTTAAATCACAATTTTAAAACATTACCCTATAGACAGCAAATTGTGAAATGTCGTATAAATAACGGAACAACTACACCCATGGGCGCTTGAACTGTAGGTATAAGGGGCGCTCCCGAACACTCACTATCACCAAATCGGGTTTCTTTTAAACCTTTATCTACGGGAGGGGTGCACTTCAAGCTTTCGGGGAAGGGGGGCGCACTTAAATTCCTGGGGGTCCCGACACTACTTGAAGTGTATGTTTTGTATATAAAATGTTTCCTATAGGAAAGATTGCCACTCCCTTCCCTTCGCCGCCATCTAAGAGATACCCGAAAGAAACTCTGTCACCAACCCGCAGGATAAAACACACTGCCAGGGTACCAGTAACTCCCCCCTCCCCGCCCCACTACAAACATCCTGTCCATGTCACGTGACTACAAATACACAACTTAAAGAACAGAGGCGTAGCGAGGGCAGGGGGTGCGGACCGCACCAGGTAACACCATTTGGGGGCGGGGGGGGGGGGGGGTAAACACCATGGCAAAAAAATTGCAAAATGTACAGAAGAAAAAAAGTTAAAAAGTCTTTTACGCACAAATCGACAATTATTACTAGGGGGTGGGGATGACACCATGAAGTAAACGTGCTAAATACAAAAAAAACTACATCCAACTGCATCATTAACAGACTGTAGATAAACATCGTTACTATTTAGCCTGCAGTGATTAAAGTTTACAAGTGCGCGTATGTGGCCTAACAAACAATATATATATATATATATATATATATATATATATATATATATATATATATATATATATATATATATATATATATATATATATATATATATATATATATAATATATAAAGTACTATATAGATACTTTGTTTCTTAGAGGGTGGTGACACCGTGAAGTGCCGCACCGGGTGACACCCGACCTAGCGACGCCACTGTAAAAGAATACTTTTTTTTTAGAATGCTAATACTTGCTGTTATTTCTATTTACTCCAGAGCACATACTAGTAAAACAGGGCCCCGGGTTTACGTAAAAGCTTGACAAGCTATAGATTAGGCCTCCGATTTCTTTGGGGCCCCCCAAAAATATTTTTTTAAAAACCATTTTGGGCATTTTCTTGCCAAATTTATTTTTAATTTTCTTAAATCGCGGTGGAGACCGAGGTATGTTTTCACTACAGTTATAAACACACTTTTTTTTGGTCGGCAAACGTCTTTTTTTTTAAAACGCAAATATTTGGCACTGACGTTTAGATCTAATATCTGCACTGAAAACTAGCCCCATATTGAAATAGCTTAGGGTCTTATCAACGCTAAATCCGGTCTGGTAGTTAGTTAACAGTTTGAGGATTTGATAACTTGACGATTCAATCGTTTTTATTTTAAGGAAATACAATGGTCTGAATTAGAATGTTTCATTAAGATAGTTTTAATACGAGTCAATATGAGGAAAAAAAGCCGTTAATTAACATGCAAGCGATGAATCTGGTTTTTAAAAAGTTGATACGGATCTACGATTTTGATAAAATACTTATATATGAAATTTCATATACCTAGCGGTAACGGTACTAAAGTTATCGTGTTTACACACACACAGACACACAGACACACAGACACACAGACATACGGACAAGATTGCAAAGTTATGTTTTTCCGTATCAGTGAGGTGTAAAACGTCGAGATTTATAAAAATCTCGATGTTTTTTTTTTTTTTTGCACGATTACAAGACTTTCTCTATACTTCGTATATACGAGAAAGTAAAAATACTTGGACTCCAGCAGTGATTTTAGTTGGAATTTTCTAGTGGTGGTGATGGGGGGGGGGGGGGGGGGGGTTCAGGTATGTGTCGTCAGATCTCCATGAAGTGTCAAACATGTAACAAGAGCATGTGGCGTAGCTGTGAGGGGGGGGGGGGTCCGCCCCAGGTGGTATTTTTTTTTTCCATTGATGTAAATATTTTCTGCGATAGAGCCTAACAAGCTGGGCACGGCACCAGTGGTGAGAAGGGCGAGGGAGGCAAAGACGGCATTGGATGAAGGGCAACAAGGAACGGACTGGGCTGCCGGTTGCAGAGTAACTTAAAGCAGCGGAAAATCGAGAAAGTGGCAAAAAATTATGAAATTAAAAATAACTATAGTCCGGCTCCCCCCCCTCCCCCCCTCACCTTCCCTCGAGGATGACGGTTATGGAAGAAGTGAATATAAGAGAGGTGGGACAAAAGAAATAAGCTGCTGATCTAACCTTTTAGAGGGCGGTGAATTGTCAGCGGCCTAGGGCGCTAGTACGTGTGTTACAATGGAGATCGTTGAACATAGCATGATACACAGTTTGAGAATCGCCGATTGAAAGGCGACTGATTAGGTTAACCCCCACTCCACCCCCCCCCCCCCCCCCCGACCTAGGTAATTAAGCGGCGCGAGCCAGGTCGAGATCTCGTTCTTGGGTTACACCGACCTTGACCTTTGCCACAGTCGCCACTGACCAGCCCGGGCCCGTGCGCTTATCTGTGCTACACCCACACACGCCGACACGGTCATTAAGCTCCGGGACTAATAATTAATCACGTGTTGGCCAAGCCCCCTTGAAACCCCCACCCCCTCCCCTTTTCTCCCCCTGGGGAATGAAACTTGTATCAGTGACGCTGATTACTTACAAGGTGACCGGATGTGACGTAACATACCCGATATAGGTCTGTTCGCTTAAGTTAATCGTGAGTCGGGAATTCCCGATTAATTGAATGTTGTTTAGGTTTAAGGTTAAAGCACATTTTTTTTTTTTTTACGGAATGAACTCCTTTTCTTAAGTAAATTGTATGTCACTTCCAAAGAACAGTCACATTTTATAATGAAAATATACGTCACAGTCCATCTCCTAATTGTAACTGAAAAACAAAAATACCTTTTTTTCAAATAGTAACTAACTAATGTTGAAAACACTAATATTAATTTTTGTTCCTCTTTATTCTAGTCGGATTAACAATTTGATCCTGCGCCGTCATCACTATAAATCCACGACGGCGTTAGCTGGGATAATCCTCTACACCGTGACCACAGAGATTAAGTTACACGCGACCTTCGTGCGCACACACACACACACACACACATACACACACAATACAGACACACACACACACAGACACACACACAATACACAACACAAGGGAGACGACTGTATTTAAAGCCATTGTTGACAGGGGATGTCGATGTCAATAGTAACATCAGTTAACCCCCACCCTCCACTCCTTCCCCCCCCCCCCCCCCACCTCCCAACTCAAACGTGTTACCCAACAATGTAGATGGGATTGACCTACAATTGTTCTTACCTAAGTATAAGACCTACTTCATTGCTAAAAAAAACAAATTCGTACTTTTTCTTTATGAAGAACAGTCGACCATTAATTTCTATTTTTAGTTGGTCACCCAGGGTATCGATACTGTTTTGTCACAAAAATTGAACCTAATTTTAGCACAAACAATAATATATTAATTTAAGTAACTTTTTTTTGAAACTCTATCTTCAGGTATCGTTTATATGAGTAGTTCAAGATCGCTAGCAATGTAACCGCTAACGGAATTTTTCAACCCCTCTGCCTAAACACACATATCGATAATTAAACATATGATTATGGACCACTGCGTCAACTGAAGAATTTTTTAGGTAAACTTCTATTTTCAAATTTTTAAATATACACACCACTATTTTACTCAGAAAACACTAGATATACATTATGTCTACTTGCCTACTTATAAAGGGCTTTAAATATTCAGTGTATGTATAAATATGTATATAGTTTATGTATGTATGTATATATATATATATATATATATATATATATATATATATATATATATATATGTGTGTGTGTGTATATTATATTTATATATATTATATATATATATGAAAACATATATCGATATATACTTACACACACACACACACACACACATATATATATATATATATATATATATATATATATATATATATATATATATATATATATATATATATATATATATATATATATATATATATATATATATATATATATATATATATTATATATATATATATATGTGTGTGTGTGTGTATATTATATTTGTATATATTATATATATATATATCAAAACATATATCTATATATACTTACACACACACATATATATATACATATATATATATATATATATATATATATATATATATATATATATATATATATATATAGGCCTATATATATGTGTGTGTGTGTGTATACTTTTAAAATAAGTTCTAATACTTTAATACAAGACGTTAAGTTTAGCAATTCATTTAAATTCTATTATAATATTAAAAACTCCACTAAATAACTTCCTTTAAGAAAAAAAAATAAAGCTTTAAACATTTCCTTACCATTTTTTACGTGTAGAGTTAAGCCCCCTTAGTCCGTCTGAACGATACTGCGGCAATGAACTGCAGACCGGGGAATCTCTACATTTCTACACTCCCCCATAGGAAGTTGTCGCAAGGGGGCAAAACCCTGCCCAGACAAACACGGGCGACTAGTAGTGACATGCCGACTGGTGTCAAGTTATTTTCCCTAACCAGTGTACGTTTGGCGGTTGGTGTAGGCTCTCTTACATTTCAATTTCATGTTAGAATAATTGAAAGTTATTTCATATATTTGCCGTTTTAATAGAATGATTGCATTAAATTATGTTTCAGTTGTTTTAAAATAATTCAAACCAGAGTTATGTAAACAGAAGAAGATAAACTGTTCATAAAAAATTTAATATGGGTAGGTAGGGTGTAGAATGAAACAGTCAATTTTGAGATAAAGTTTCAAAAGACAGGATGTAATATAATCCTTTAAAAAATAGTTATAGAATAATACGAGCTTAAACCACTCTAATAATGTATGTTAAAATACAGCCTAAACTAACACTATAACACCTTTTTAAAAAACCAATTAAACAAAACAAACTAGAATGACTAGGAGATTTTTTTTAAAGTAAAATAAAACAAAATTAAACTATTAAAGAAGATTTTAAAAAATTCATAAAAAAACGTTTTAATAACAAGTTTTTATGTACTAATGCACTAAAAAGTAGAAAATAAATTATACACTACTATTTAAATTACTATAAAGAAAAGCGTGGGTCACTTTAGTACTTTAGTACCTATTGGATACCTTTACTAATATTTGAGAAGAGACCCACGTTTTTCTTTATAGCAATTTAAATAGTAGTGTATAATTTATTTTCTACTTTTTAGTGCATTAGTACATAAAAGCTTGTTATTAAAACGTTTTTTATGAATTTTTTTTTCAGTACTTTACATGTTTTATTTACAATAGTGTTACATGACTAAAAACCATTGCGCGTCTATTGAACGTGATGGCGCAGCTATTGAACCTGATGGCGCAGCTATTGAACGTGATGACGCGTGTGGTGTGGTTGGATAGACATGCCTACTAATTCGGTCCAAATTTTAATTAATTCATAAAAAATTAATAAGGCATCCAATTAAGTCAAATTTAGTTTCAGATTGCATTGTCTTTATGTCTTGACCCACGTGCCAAGTGTGAATCGTATCGATCAAGTAGAACTGTCCGAATTTTCACTCCTGCGTTTCGATCTAGACTGACGACAGACTGTCGACTGACGACTGACGACAGAGGAAGTGAGTTAAATAAAAGCTTGTAAAAAAACTATATACTCTATAAACCGTGTATAAGAAAGGTTTTAGCATCATTTGCAAATAGTGAAGGGAATAGTGTCGTTTTTGTCTAATAAATTGATACATATTAAAACGCGTACACACACACACACACACACACACACATATATATATATATATATATATATATATATATATATATATATATATATATATATATATATATATATACTAGCCGTCCCGGCCAGGCTCTGCTCTGGCTTCTGTGAAAAACCTTTCTGTTAAAGACCATTACCTGTGTGTTTAGTAATCATCATAAACCCGGCATTGCCCACCCAAACCACAACCAACCAAAACAACAAAACGCAAACATAACGCTAACATAATTACAAATACAAACGAAAACAAAAACAAAAACCTAACAACAAACCCAACCACAACCACAAACACCAATACAAACACAAAGAAAAAACAAACAAAAAAGCAAACGAAAACAAAAACCTAACAACAAACCCAACCACAAACACCAATACCAAAAAAAACCAAAAAAAAAAACCAAAAAGCAAACGAAAACAAACCAAATCCAAACGCAAAACCAACCAAAAACACAAATACAAACCCAAAGAAAAAAAACACAAACAAAAACGAAAAAAGAAAGAACAAAAACGAACCAAATCAAAACGCAACCACTAACGCAAACCCACCTAAACACAAAGAAAACACTAACGCGAACATAAACGCCCGGGGCGGAATCACCTGTTTTAGCTTAATGAACGACTATAGTACCCCAACTTATTCTTAGTCTTTTGCACTCACTTAAACAAACGCGCCTGTTTCAATTTAATGAACAATTATAATACTCCAAGCTTATCCGTAAAATACCTACAACATTTGCACTTGATCAATCCCCGCTAATTATGTAATTATTTTTTTTCCCAACACCAAAACAAAGTAATTAAAAAGTAAATTCTTTTCCACTAATGCAATGGTTTTATAAAGGGAAGTAATTGTGTTTTCCTAATTTATCAAAGGGAAGTAAGTGCTATAGGACTAAATAAAGACATAATTAGAATTTTTGTAAAAGATGATATTTTTTTAAAACTTGTGTTTAATGAACATGCCGACAATTATTACTATAATTTGAAAAATGAAAATTATTTCCCAACACTTTCAATAGTACTTTTTTTAACTCATAAATTTAGACAAATGCGCACGATGATTGTCTAACACTTAAATCCATCCAAGACCAACGACAAACATATGCGTTACCTACAGAACTGAGCTTTATATATTATATATATATATATATATATATATATATATATATATATATATATATATATATATATATATATATATATATACATATATACATATATAAATATATATATCCACTAGAAACATTCTGGCTAGAAAACGTAAACTCGCACTATAAGGGCTTGTAATGTCCTATGAAGCAGTTCCTGTAGCCTTGACGACAGTCACTCGGGTAGTCAACGATCGACTAGCGCTGAGGGTCGTAGACAGGCGAGCTGAGGGGGGGGGGGGGCGACTTGTTACCCTTACGCTAGGGAGGGGTGGTGTGGTTGGACGGTGTTAAGTAGGGCGGGAGGTGTTAGGATTATGATTGCTGTTAATTCAATACGCATGGGTGTAGTGGAGGTCGGTATTTTAAACTGCTGTGCCGTAGTTTTTAGGTATTAGTGGCGTCTGAAATGAACATGTTTGTGGGGGAGGGAGGGGGGGGGGTAGCATGTAACACGTGACTGGTCATTCTTAGTGTTGCCAGTAGTGATTTATCAATATGGATAGCTGTAGTGTAGCCTGGTATTTTAAACTGCTGTGTCCTCGCCTCAATAAGTGTTTATAAGAAAAGTCGGTGGGTACATGCGTGGTTGGGAATGTTGTGGGTAGGTGTGGTAGGGGACTGTGGTGGGAGGAAAGAAGAAAGTGACATATGGCTGGTCTCGCCTAGTGTCGCCAATAGTGAAGTATCAATTGATAAAAGCTGGTTCTACTTTGATCGCCACTCGGGCGTATCGAAGATTTTTTTTTTAAAATTCGTTATTAGTATTATAGTAACCCTGGTCATGACCTTAAACGTTAGCATAATTAAAGTAAAAGGAAAGAATCCTTTTTGGACCTAGCGATCCATTGGGCAGATGAAGTAGAGTTCTCATGTTTCTTGACCTCGGCATATGAAAGAAAGGTGTGGTCAACACTATACCCAGCCGCCTTTAGTTTCCCTAACATAATTTAGGTACCCATCAGAGCTGGGTGGACTCAGGAACCTGAGTTCGAACTCGAGACTTTCTGGTTAGAAGCCTAGCGCTCAACTGCTTAGGCCACGCCGTTCTATTAAACGTTAGCATAATCCGTATGTAGCCCTGAAATTACCAATGATCATAACCCAATACCAAAACAGCTATAGGAAATAAAACATTCTCCAGTTAAATTTGACCAGCCTTGCCGCGAAAATTGAATATAACAGTTATTTCGGTTATAGAAGATAAAACAAGCTTTACAGTTTCAAATTTTATAATGCATGGTGGATTTCTGAGTTTAGCACTAGTTTAAAACAGGACGTCGTAACCTGAACACCCGCCCACCCCACATACACACATACTTAGATGTGACTAGCACGCCATAAAATTTATTCCCAATGTCAGACTTTCATCTCGTACGAAGAAGAGTTTTAAATGGCGCTTTTTTTATGTGGGAGTATGCGGGGGAGGATTTTTAAAACTGAGCCGTGTAAACAAGATCAGTCAGTTCTGCTGTTTATTGACGTGACGAGAAGATTCCACACGATGGTAATCGACGTGATTTATTTGAATTATCAAATATTTCTTGACGTGACTGAACTGTGACACCTAGTGTTTCTTGACGTGACAAAATTCTTAGACCAGATGTTTCTTGACTTGACAAAACTGAATGACCTAATGTGTCCTGAAGTGACAAAATCCTTAGACCTGATATTTCTTTACGTGCCAAAACTGTTAAATCTAATGTTTCTTGACGTGAATAAACGGTTAGACCTGATGTTTCTTGACGTGAACAAACTGAATGACCTGACGTTTTTTTCACGTGACAAAATTATTAGATCTGATAACTGATAGCTCTGATGTTTTTTGACGTGACAAAAACTATTAAAAATACGTGTTTCTAACGTGACACCAAATGTGCCCAATCCAATGCCACAGAATCTTCTTACATAAAGCACGATAGCCTTCCCCTCCCCACACACCCTTACACATTCATGTGAGCCTTTATTACAGATTTGTGTGGGGATGGCGTGGTCGGGCATAAGAACGCACAGTTTCTTAATCCAAACGTTCCAGGTTCGGATCCCATGCAGCTACCTATTTAGGCGGTAAAACTCGAAATGGAATACCTGCTGTCTTGTAGATTGTCCAGTGTGTATAAAGGCAAAAGAAGTAGATCTAGAAAGAAAAACATGCTGAAATTGAAGTCAACGGCGCAACACACGCACACACATACATACTCACACGCATATAAAATCTGATTCCAATAAAACAGCGACTTTTAAAATAGTGTATGGAGATAAAAAATATTTAGATAACCGGAATCTCTACGATGGAAATAATTGCCCTGTTTTATATTTTGTTTGCAAATATGAAAGTGTAATCATTTTTCGTCAATATGCATCCAACGATTTAAAAATTACAGAAAATGTGCATACAGAAATTAGAAAAAAAAAATGTATATTCAAATGTGGCTTAAATTACCATTGCATTATACCACATTGCCCCACCAAAAAAAATATATATATATAAAAAAATCCACAACATAACTCAATTATTTTATTTGTATTACTAAAGGATACCCGGACAGCAATGTTTTAACTCTCACAAACAGCAGGCAACATTATGACGTCTGCCACACACAAGGTTCCCACCAAGGTAAGGTTCCTCCACTACACCAAAAACATAAAACGCATTGTGAATGTTTTGGTCAAATAATAAACCGATCTATCATGTAGATCTTTTGCATAACTTTTCTTATGGTGGTATTTGATATGACAACGTATAGTATCAATATTTAACCATAATTATTTGCATATATATATATATATATATATATATATATATATATATATATATATATATATATATATATATATATATATATATATATATATATATATATATATATATATATATATATATATATATATATATATATATATATATATATATATATATATATATATATACATGTGTGTGTATGTGTATGTGTACAGTACACAAAAAACTTTATTAGCATACACAATTACCCTTGGACATATAGAAATAAATCAATACCTTGAATTAAATTGTCTTTGTTGTTTTTCTTAGGGATCTTTCCAAGCTATGAAATAAAATTAAATATAGAGGCTGAAGAAGGGACGCTCTACAACAGACAATCGCTCTAAAAATAAACAATCGTTCTACAACAGTCAATCGCTCTAGAACAAACAATCGCTCTACAACAGTCAATCGCTCTAAAAACAAATAATCGCTCTACAACAGACAATCGCTCTAGGACAAATGGCACTGAGTGTAGGTTTCCGTACGACACGTCGAGGGTAGGGTTCAGTCACGGAGCGGTGAACTTGACCTTGTCGCATTGCGGTTGTCGCATACCCCCACACCCTACACGTCACAGTACTGACGTACACGACAAACATTAAGACCCTGTTTGTCAAGGAACTATACCAGTACGTCTTGGGTTACTAGTGAATGGTCCGTCAAGCGAGGAACGATAACTCCAGTCGAATAACTTGACATGAAATTCTATTTATAAAAATGTATGTGATTTTCGTGTTGAAGAGGATCAATAGTCTATATCTTACCCGGTGCGTACCTTGTATAAAGAGGGAAATAAAAATAAGAATGCATTTATTGTTGTGTGTATAGCAGAGGTTTTATTCTGGGTAAGATTTAATTATAGGTATGAAAATATTTTGGGGGTACAAACATGAAGAGAATATTCTCGATCAAAGAAGTTGAGGCGGGTCGTTAATTCCTTAGAGGCGTGAAAAAAATTTCTATAGATGTGTGAAAAAATGGGTATTATAAAGGTATCTAACTCACGTTATGGAAACTAAAGGCGGCTGGGCATATCATGGACCACACTATCCCTTTATATACTGAGGTCTCAGAAACAGGTGAACTCTACTTCACTTGACCCATGGAGCGTCAGGTTCGAAAACACAACTTTACTAAACAGGAGAATTAATCCAAACAGAATTTTAAAATTCGTTTTGCTCGTTGATTAGCTATATCTACATATTCGTAACGCAATTATTGAGTGTAACAGAATTGACGAGTTACCCAAAACTTAAGCCTAGATTTAAGCCTAATGTTTGATACATTGTTTTGTCAAGTGATTGGCCAGTGAAGTGTATACAATAATTCTTGTCCAAACAGTTTGACATAAACAAATATTGCTCTTATCCGAGGCCCCATTGCTAAACAACTCTCATGGTCGCCATTTTGGTGTCACGAATCTCCGCTAGGGGTCAGTTATCAATACATAACGTCACGCATTTTAGAAAGATTTTTTTACCCCCCCCCCCCCCCCACTTTACAAAATGTAGGACCGCACCCCCTAAAATTATGTGATAGCTCAGCGTACTACCCACTTAAATGTGTAATTTTTGTTTCTTTTTTTAACAGAGAAATTTATTTATAAAATATTTCCCTAGTTCAGTCAATATTGCGTTTTTATGGTACATTTTTGTTACACTTTCCTAAAAAAGTTTTTTTTCCAGCGCGAAATGTGCCGCGATAGTTTATCCGCTCAATGTCTATAGACAGTAACGTTAACTGCAATCGTTATCTTAAACATTCTCGTTCCTAAGGCAACTCCCCCCCCCCCCCCCTCACACACACACCAAACAATTTTACTTTTTTTTATTTTTACCACACTCTCTCCTTTCTACACCCCCCCCCCTAAAATACAAAACAATTTTGTTACTTTAGCTGGATAAAACATTGATTAATACATTTTGCGATTTGTTGTTGTCAGTCATTTCTCCTCTCCCCCCCCCCCCCCCGCCTCTGTTATTTTTTAAATCATGATGGCCACTGACAAATTAATGGTTTATAAACTACCACCGCTGATCCTAAGCTCAAACCACGTCCAAAACCTCTACCAATATTTAACTTGGTCCGCCTCAAACACCCCCCCCCACCTCACCTGCATGTCACCGTGACCCCCACCTGGAGTTTACACTTCAGACCTGAACATTAAACTCTCTACAGCCGTATTAAAATTTTTATGGCCTATACTTAGGGCCTTCAGACCTTCAGTCGAAGGTCGGCAGTCGAAGCCAATAGTTGAAGCAGCGCCGTGGGCTATAGCAACACACTGGCGAGTTAATCCTGGTATGCGTACACAGTACATGCAGGTACATGTCGCAAAACTAATATTTAGCTCTCCTCTATAGATACATGTTTTAGAGAATAGCTTTTTTTTTGTTTTAAATGGGGAAATGGCAAATATTATTGTTGGCGAATTCGCTGAAATTAACACGTTGATTCAATGCATTGAGATTGTGATTAGTAATGTAAACTTGGCATTTTGTTTAATCTATCTACTTAAACAATTATGTAATATTGCCTTTGTTTATCTACTGGTTTTGCAATATGGCCTTTTGTTTAATCTGTCTACTTGTATTGTAACTTTTCATTTTTCTATATCTATCTACTTGTATTGTAACATTGCTTTTTGTTAAATCCATCTACTTGTATTGCACCATGGATTTTCCTTGATCCAAATACTTTAGACAATACAGCTAAATACAAAGAACACAAAAACCAGAACCTTTTAGTTAAAAAACAACAACAAAAGAAACCGTTAAAATGCTGCTACTAAAACAACACATAAAAGGAGGATGTGTCAGACTTCCATTATAAAATTAAACCTTCACCCACATACTCGTCTGTGTATGGAGCTCATGGGAGCCCATATTGGCGTCACTAAGGGGTGTGACACCATGTCGTTTAATATCAATAGGCACCCCCTAAACTCTTCATAAAGTGACACTTTTTTTTTATTGTCTCAGTTATAGAAAACAAAGCTAGGAAAAAAGTTATGGATATTTTATAAAAAGCAAATCTGCAGTATTTCAAATGAATATATTTTAATTTTTAGTCGAAAACCCTTCAAATACCAAAATTTAACAGCATGCAGAAATAGCAAACAATGGGTGTCCTCAACTTTTTTTTTTAAAAACACGAAACTTCTAGAAAATCTTTTATTGATTAAAAATAACAAGAAACAATGTAACCTGTCAGATTTTTAGACATATCAAGGGGCATAACCGAAATAAATACATCAATGATCACAACACGGTTATCTCTCCATTATAGTTCAGCTTACTATAACCATCAAATTGCCAGAAGGAAGACAGACATAAACAGTGACATCATGAGGTTAATTTATCTGCATAAAATAGTCTTTTTCTCACGGCAAATACTTCTTAACTTGTTGTATGTTGAAGTCGTTTTGGCTAGTTTTGTATCAATAGTCTGGTGCGTACGTTGTATAAAAAGAAAATAAAAATAAGAATACATTTATTGTTGTGCGTATAGCAGAGGTTTTATTCTGGGTAAGATTTAATTACAGGTATGAAAATATTTTAGTAATAATGGTGTCATCCATAAATGATTCACGCTTTTTTTTTTGAAGATTTTTACCTCCAACCTCCCCTCCGCCACACATCGTCACAATAAGCCAGATCCTCCTCCGAAAATGACGTCACACCTCAGCCCACAACCCCCCCCCCCTCTCCCCCTCAAAATTGCAGCTGAATATTTCTTAAAACATCGATATTTTTTTTTACAAAATCTTGTCTGAACTCTGTCAACATAGAGTATTTTAATCAATTTCTATTACAATTTTTTTTAAAGTTTTCTGAAACGCGGAATAACGGCTAAAATACGTTTCCTAACATTGTTTTTATAATGCAAACGTGTGACGTCACACCATCTGAACCCCCTCCTCCCCCTCATCACATACCGTCATAAAATTACGGACCCCCCTCCTCCCTACGAGTGTGAAATCATTTATGGACGACCCACCCATTCCCCTCTTGGAGTGTGACGTTATTTATGGACGACACAGAGTAATAATGAAAAGACCCATGTTTGAGCAGTATAAAATTTAATAGTTTTATAACAGTTCATACTTTGTTGATATTGTACATATGTTGACACGTGAAATATACACAGTGAATGTATGTATGGAGCGGCAGTCTCGACTGACACAGTGGAATTCCTTGTCTCACTAGGGTCAATCGACACGTCATTTGTGGGACATCATCTTCATAAATTCTGGGAAAGATAATAAATAAACATCCTCTTAAAATCAGTCCAATTTTTAATTTTGAACAAAGTTGTGTTGCATTCCAGTTTGCTCTGTCTTTTTAATAATCATAAATTGTAAACGTGCTCAAAGTTATTTTAATAGTATAAGTATAAGGCTCGTACCATCGAACTAACAATGATATTTTTTAAAGTTATACCTTTTTTGAAAATTTTCGTATATACATATATACACACACACACACACACACACACACACACACACACACACATATATATAAATATATATATATATATATATATATATATATATATATATATATATATATATATATATATATATATATATATATATATATATATATATATGCTCGTTAGGCAAATGTAAAACACTCAATTAAGTTCAATTATAGTTAAAACACTGAAGGGGGTAGAATTTGAGCGGGTATGACTGAGTCACACAGAGAGTCAAACACGTGTATGCTGTAACATGGCTTCATTTCCGGAGCTGGTAAAAAAAAAGTTCCCTGTTCATCTGTTTCTGTGACCACGGCATATGAAGATATAGTGTGGTCAGCACTATGCCCTGCGATCTTTACTTTCCCTAACCTGAGCTAGGTACCCATCAGAGCTGGGTGGACTCTGAAACTACTGACTTGAACCCGGATTCGAACTCGAGACTTTCAGGTTAGTGGTAGCTTGTATGAACTAACCAGCCAATCACCAGCGGTGTTACATATGTTGGTAGGCCCCAACCCTTACCGTGGTAGTTGACGTGCCCGTCCCCGTCCATATCCGCCTCCCGGATCATCTCGTCAACCTCGGCGTCCGTCAACTTCTCCCCAAGGTTCGCCATCACCTGACGCAGCTCCGCGGCTGAGATGTAGCCGTTACCGTCCTACGGAGAGAGAGAAAGCAGTTGTTATGGTGGTTGTTGCTGCTGTTTTATGTTGTGTCATCTTTGAATTTCGTTACTAGAGTATTATATATTTGAACAAACGTGCTGATATTTTCAATGGTAAAGTAACTTTGGGTAAATTTCCCTTTTCGAACCTGACGGTCCAGGTAATCCCCCCCCCCCCCCAGAAAAAAGTCTACCGCCCCCTCCCTAACGAAATGGAATTTAATATAGAAAATATATACTTTTAACAATGTCAGCCCCCCCCCCCCCCGAAAGTTTCAGGTACCCCCTCGGAGAAAAAAGTCTGGAAGAAATATTGTCCATAGGCCAAGTGAAGTAGAGTTAAGCTGAAGGGATAATGCTGTCAGCACTATAACCAACCAGTTGGGTGGACTCATGGACCTTCTACTGACTTGAACCCGAATTCGAACTCGATTAGTTGGTTCAATAGGGCTGGTAAGTAGGTCAGCAACCAGTTCTATGGCTCATGCAGGTTTTATTGCGCTGTAGAACTGGTTGGTGACTTGCTTACCAGCCCTATAGTAAAGGCGAGAGGTAAAAAAAGACATGACGACTGTTGAATATTTTAAGGGACGTAATCAAAATAAATGACCGTTGTTAATTCTGCAATAATCAGTCAATTTAACACGCTTATTGTTTCCGAACAAAAATTTTTTCCAACACTAGTTGCATTCCGAATTTCCCGTGATTAAATCTATGACAGCCATGTCATGTAAGTTATGACAACCACGACATCATATATATATATATATATATATATATATATATATATATATATATATATATATATATGTTACGGTCAAAGCCCGAAGTCGGCCAATGCTAGGATTGGCCGGCCAATCCGCGCATTGGCCAATATCGCCTCCCATCGGTCGGTCAAAGTCCGAAATTTTGCTTGATTTCGGCCTTTGGCTGGCCAATCCGCAGACTGGCCATGGTGGACCGGCCAAAGTCTTAATTAGAAGATCATCTGGCTAGGGACGACCGGCCAAAGTCCGAATTAGAAGATCATGAGCAGATTTTTTTTATGCCGTAAGGATCATGAAATTAAGTCTTTATTGATTATTAATTAAAGTAAATGACAGACACATTCAGATTTTTATTGTACTAAAGTCTCAATCTATCAATATCATCATTTGTTACAACAAGTTGAACTTTTATGGCATTTAGAATTACATAGCAGCTTGATATGTTTACACTTGCAGCGATTTGTTGTGCACTTAGTTGTGCAATTGCAGCGAGTGTAGCCTTGGCCCCCAGTCAATGATTGTGAAGATGCGATGGTTCGTAGTGATTTTTATCAGTGCCAACTGACGACAATAAGAGCAGTTTTTCGTGGAGAATTGAAAACTCACTTCTAGCATACAGTTGTTTTAGAACATCATGTTCCGTTCCTAATTTGTAGAAACCGCCCTCGGCGCTCATGACAACTGCAATCACGCTTCGGGGATCACCGTGACCTCTGTCAGAATCTGGAACACGGATGCGTACATTGTCACCCACTTCACCATCTTTAAATTTTGTATTTGATGTTTTAAGCATCTTAGCACCTTGAGTTTGCAAGCCAGTATGAGCTGCTGATCTGTGTTCCGTGATGTCTTGTTTCTTGTGACACGATCTGCAGTACCCTTCGTCTGCTTCATTGGGTATTCCACAAATAGCATGGACATCGTTACCACAGGATCCAAAAGAATAAGCTGCACTACAATGTTTTTCACAAACTATATAGAATCTGTTGGCCACATTATTGTCACGCAACTGGTCTTGGCGTTCCGCCACGGCAGTAGATGTTTTAGCTGAGGATGTCGTTGCATTTATGGCAACCTCCATTTCTTGTTCAATGTTCTCAAGATCTTCCTCAGTAACTATTTTATCGAGAGCCCTTATATGGAAACTAACATGGATTTACATTTTTTTTCTTTTGGCAGCCATCTGCTATGTCTGTTTCATGGTCTGACGGCCCTTTTGATCCATGTCGCCTTGCATATAGAATGCTATACAAACAAAAGCTAAACAATACGTTAATCTCAATGAAAACGCACCCAGAATAATGAAAATGTGATCACAATTTAGACTAGATAGAACTTTGGCCAGGACATCCCGGCCAGTGCGCGCATTGGCCGGCCAATGTACAAAATACGCTGTCAAGTTTAAGCGCTTCGGACTTTGGCCAGTACGTCCCGGCCAGTGCGCGCATTGGCCGGCCAATGTACGAAATACGATCTTAGTACTAAGTTCTTTGGGCTTTGGCCAAGAGAGCCGGCCAATGCGCGGATTGGCCGGCCAATCCGCGCTTTGGCCGCACTTCGGGCTTTGACCGTAACATATATATATATATATAAATATATATATATATGTATATGACATTCGATGTATGATAACCATGACATCTAAACAACCATGACATTTATCCTATGACTACTATGACAATCAATTTTCGACAACCTTCCCTGACACATAATCTATGAAAACCATGACATCAAACCTATGACATCCATGACATCTAATCTATGACACCTATGACAACCATGACTTGTAATCTATGACAACCATGACATCAAATCTATGACATCGATGACATCAAATCTATGACAACCTTCCCTACCCTATCAAAGACACGAAAAGCCTCACGCATTTCCTCCTCCTTATCCCCAGAGGTCATCTGTCTGGACATCATCACCAGAAACTCTTGGAACTCAATGGTGCCATTTCCTGTTTCATGATACAACATACATACGTATTTTTATTAAAAGTAAAGAATCATTCAAATTTCATTTTGTTTCTTGACCTCAGCATTTGAATGGAAGATTTGGTCAGTGTTTAGGATATGTTGCGAAATGAGCGTCAACAATTAGTCATTATAAGTTGGTTGGAGGGGGGGGGGGGTCATTCTATGACGTCATGGAAATTTAGTAGCTTGTTCATCCATTTCGATCTATGCTATAATCACAAGTAAAATTTTTAAACAGGTGGAAAAGCTGAACATCTTCACCACTATCCCACTCGTTACCCCCGTCACAAAATCAAATCAAAAGTTTCAACTCATCCACCCCGCTTCCGATTTTTCAGTACAAGTATTTTTCGTATCAGCGGCCAATACTTTCTTTAATTAACTTATGGCCAATACTTTCTGTCATCAGTTTATGGCCAATACCATCACACCATGTCCACTACATACTGTCACCAGATGAATATCCACTACATACTGTTAAATACAAATGTTAGCTGCAGTGAGGTTAATACAATAAGTAAAAAAACAGATAGTGTTAGTTACCTCACAAGTTAAAGACAGTTACAAATGAAGAAGACCTTGGGTCGAAACGTCAATAGAATTTGTTACTGTCTTTAACTTGTGAGGTAACTAACACCATCTGTTTAATTGCTTACTGTTACCAGATGAATGTCCACTACATACTGTCACCAGATGAATGTCCACTACACACTGTCACCAGATGAATGTCCACTACACACTGTCACCAGATGAATGTCCACTACACACTGTCACCAGATGAATGTCCACTACATACTGTCACCATATAAATGTCCACTACATACTGTTACCAGATGAATGTCCACTACATACTGTCACCAGACGAATGTCCACTACATACAGTCACCAGATGAATGTCCACTATATACTGTCAACAGATGAATGTCCACTACAGTCACCAGATGAATGTCCACTACTGTTACCAGATGAATGTGCACTACAGTCACCAGATGAATGTCCACTACATACAGTCACCAGATGAATGTCCACTACTGTTACCAGATGAATGTCCACTACAGTCACCAGATGAATGTCCACTACAGTCACCAGATGAATGTCCACTGCAGTCACCAGATGAATGTCCACTACTGTTACCAGATGAATGTGCACTACAGTCACCAGATGAATGTCCACTACATACTGTCACCAGACGAATGTCCACTACATACTGTCACCAGATGAATGTCCACTACATACTGTCACCAGACGAATGTCCACTACATACTGTCACCAGATGAATGTGCACTACAGTCACCAGATGAATGTCCACTACATACTGTCACCAGACGAATGTCCACTACATACTGTCACCAGATGAATGTCCACTACTGTCACCAGATGAATGTCCACTACTGTTACCAGATGAATGTCCACTACAGTCACCAGATGAATGTCCACTACAGTCACCAGATGAATGTCCACTACAGTCACCAGATGAATGTCCACTACAGTTACCAGATGAATGTCCACTACAGTCACCATATGAATGTCCACTACAGTCACCATATGAATGTCCACTACAGTTACCAGATGAATGTCCACTACAGTCACCAGATGAATGTCCACTACAGTCACCATATGAATGTCCACTACAGTTACCAGATGAATGTCCACTACAGTCACCAGATGAATGTCCACTACAGTCACCTGATGAATGTCCACTACATACTGTCATCAGATGAATGTCCACTACAGTCACCTGATGAATGTCCACTACATACTGTCATCAGATGAATGTCCACTACATACTGTCATCAGATGAATGTCCACTACAGTTACCAGATGAATGTCCACTACTGTCACCATATGAATGTCCACTACTGTTACCAGATGAATGTCCACTACTCACTATCAGAGTCCACGTCATTGATCATGTCCTTCAGCTCGGTCTCTGAGGGTGTCTGGCCGAGTGCCCTCATGACTTTGCCGAGTTCTTGAGTCGAGATGTGGCCATCCCCGTCTTTGTCAAACAGGTGAAACGCCTCTTTGATCTCTGGAAACGGGTAAACAAAACATTTGATTCTTAGAGTAATTACACTGTGACGGCTAAATTAATTTTAATGTATACCAGACGACCGATGTTTTCCGTTGGATAAAGGCTCTGTGAGCAGATGAAAATGGTCTCATATTTGAAACTACACCATTAATGTCACCGTTGTACACTACCATCACCATAACCCAACCACCAACACCATCGACACACGAAATCTATCACACTACCACCGCTACCAAACATACCACTACAAAACACATACAATGACTATCAGTGCACACGACCACTACCACCACACACACCCCTATACACCACTACCACCACACACATAATCACCACTACCACCAAAGATTCCCTATCAATTCCACCATAACCACCCACCCAAAATTAACCCAAATTAAGCTGGAGCTCTACACAAATCTTATTTAGAAGTATTAGTCATTATCTACATGTAAAATCGTATTTATCAATACGACCCTCTGCAATTATCAATCATTGACCGTTAATGTTATTTTTAGGTTAGGATGATGAGTAGGAAATTGACAGGATGGTAAGTAGGAAACAATGAGCTCTCACTCACCTTTAACCTGTTCCGGTGTGAGACTTTTTTCAGCCTGAAAATAATATATATATATATATATATATATATATATATATATATATATATATATATATATATAGTTCTCTCTATTTGTACAACACATTATGGCATTCGAATATATGGTAATATAATTAAATTGTGTTAATTGCAAAAAATACATTATGACTAAGGAAATTAATTATTTTTATAATATATATGTGTTTACATGTGAATACAGATGGATAAAAATACACATCAACACTGATCACACTTGCATAAACAGCACACATCCATCTCTGACCGATGTCTACTATCTATGGATCACCTCACATAACCCACCTCATACATTTGACAAGGGACATCACTCCGAATCTATCACACTTAAGACATTCCTTTCGCCCAGTGAGACGAGACTGAATTTTTTATTTCCCCATGTAAGCCCCAGGTGGGTATCCGTAGTGACTTCCCTTTTGGGCGTCACCGTGTTGATGTTTTTTTTTTTTTTTTTTGATTTTTTTTTTTTTTTTTTGCGGTATAAATTTGAATGGAGGCATATTTTATGGATCGGCGAGTTGGGGCGGTAATGTGTTGAAGTAAGTTTTTCAGCCGATCGTAGGTATCTCAGTCTAGAGTAGATCTCATCCTATAGTAGATATTTCAGTACACAGTAGACAGTTGGTCATTTGGTGTATAGCATGTTCTCAGTCAATAGTAGATTTCTCAATCCATAGTCAATAGTGGGTCATTCAATCCATGTAGGTCCTTCAGTCCATGTAGTTCTTTCGGTCCATGTAGGTCTTTCAGTCCATGTAGGTCCTTTAGTCCATGTAGGTCCTTCAGTCCATGTAGGTCATATATCTCTGACTAGGTGTAAGTTGAAACAGTTTGAGTAGAGAACTAGTCATATCTCTTCACTTGTCAAGTGACAGAAACAGGTCAACTCTACTTCACAAACCCAACTGACCGTCAAGTCCGATACAGAAAACTAGCTACATCTTCAATTCATGTCTACCATGCCCCCCCCCCACCTCCACACACACACACACCTTCCCGAGCTGCAAAGAAAATGTGTCACGCCCATGATGTTTCTTCACCTGTACGACCCGGCTCTAGTCTTCCCCCCCCCCCCCCCCAACTTCAACTAATTCAATATCTATGAATCACTCAGTTTTGTAGTTCACTGTTTGCTGAACGAATGTGTATTTAAAGTGGATGGCTGAAGTGGGATAAGGGTGGTTGGTTTTTTTTTCTTCAAGCCCAGAGAGAAATATGACACAAAAATCTCATGGGAAGTAGACCAAGAAAAGTAGCATCTAATATATAGGCTGTATTCAGCTGCGCTGCAAGGGTTTAAGTTCCTGGTGAACATGAGAGTTGGTGTTTGGCAGAAAATCTTGAATATGTAATAAAACTATTTTTAATAATTTAATCATATTGGCATTCTTATATTTCATAGCATCAATTTATAAAATAAACTTTTAGTGATTAAATTTGGCCCACCGGTTTATTTTATTTACTTTTAATAATTTAAGTAAAATGTAAAGTGACCTTTTTGAACCTTGAGGTCAATAGGTCAGATGGGGTACAGTTCACCTGTTTCTGTGACCTCGGCGTTAAGGTAATAGTGTTGTCAGCACTATGCACAGCCGCCTTTACTCTCCCTAGCGTGAATCAAGTACTCATCTAAGCTGGGTGGTATGGGGACGTGCGACGGATAATTTTTTTTAATGCAGTTTTATTTATTTACAACCATGTTTATACCCCTTGGTGAATAATTTGAGATCCACTATTTTATGGGCAAAAGGGCTGGTAAGTAGGTCACCAACCAGTTCTACGGCTCATACAGGTTTTACTGAGCCGTAGAACTGGTTGGTGACCTACTTACCAGCCCTATTATGGGCACCGTCTATATGGAGTATAGACCTAGGCCAAATCCCTTTTAATTTACACACACATTTGACATTTTGTTAATTAGGAAAAGAAACTCTACACCACTACAGACAGAAGTCCTGTAATCTATACTTCTGATTTTGGGTTTAGCGGGTGTGCGTGTGTGTGTGTGTCTGTGGGGGGGGGGGTGTATGGAGTGTGTTGGTGGGCTACGAACAGCCCAACTCGATAGTTTCCGGTTAGCTGTCCACGCCGCCCCAGATTTGATAATTTAGTACCCTATTAGATGTGGGGTGGTGTGTGTGTGTGTGAAGGGAAGGGAAGGGGTGGGGGGGAGGTTAGACCGATTGTCTAATTTTGTGGACGCTCAGTGCAAACAGAAAGTCCGGCTATTTTTCGGGTCTGTGGGCATGTTCGGGAACTTGTGCAATAAAGTTTCGATATGTGAATAGACCGATGCTTGCTCAATACAGTCGTGTGAATAGTCCGATATTTACTCAATAAGGTCGTGCGAATAGACACTGTTTCTTATTCTATCATGTAAATACGTCACCCTAAACATATGGTTGCTCAGAATGTGTGCCTCGATTTCTGATTGGTTGATTTTTAAACACGTGACAAGCGGTGACCCATATTGATGAAAGTTAATCTAAGACTATTAATCAAGAAACCGAGCGATTATATGTCAGTGAGATTAGCTCGCAGTCAATAGACTATTATTTAACACAAACAATTGAACCTTTTACAACATCTGTTGTACATCTAAACTTCTACGCTAATCCAGTTATCAGCTGGTGGGGTTTGTTTTGTTGAAATAACGAGCTTAAGTTGGAGTGCAATGTTTTCAGACCGCAAGAATTCATGTATAGGACTATATGCAGTAACAGTGGCGTAGCGAGGTCGGGTGTCACCCGGCGCGGCATTTAATCGTGTCACCCCCCAGAGGCGTAGCGACCCTTCACGGGGACAAACTTTCAATTTTCGATTTGCATCCCCCCTCAAACTTTCAATTTGCATCCCCCCCCCCTCAAACTTTCGATTTGCACCCCCCCCCCCCCCCTCAAACTTTCGATTTGCACCCCCCCCCCCCCTCAAACTTTCGATTTGCAACTCTTAAAAGACTATTTAACACTCGAATTAATCACTTAATTAAGTGGAATTATCATTTTTTCTCTCTATATTTTGCTATTTTTTGCCTTGGTGTCACCCCCCTAAATGGTGTCATCCGGTGCGGTCCGCATC